CCCCTCCCCCCTCAGGTTCTTGCCCCCTCAGGTGTGTCCCAGGTAGACGCCGTTGACCCGGTCGAGGTTACTGGTGACTCTGGTGCTGCTGCGGGTGCTGAGCCTGGGGGTGCTGACTCTGGGGGTACTGTGCGCGGGGGTGCTGAGCCTGGGGGTGCTACTGCTGGGGGTGCTGGGCCTGAGGGTGCTACTGCGGTGGGTGCGGAGCCTGGGGGTGCTGAGCCGGGGGGTGCTGTGCCTGGAGGTGCTGGGTCTGGGGGTGCTGGGTCGGGAGCTGCTGAGCCTGGGGGTGCTGAGCTGGGAGCTGCTGAGCCTGGGGGTGCTGCGTCTGGAGCTGCTGAGCCTGGGGTTTCTCCTGCTGCTGCGTCTCGCCGGGAGCCCCTCTCTCCACAGGAGCTGCGCGAGTGGTTCGCTCGCCGCTGGAGGCGTGCTGCTGAGTCTGGAGGTGCTGCTGGAGCTGGAGCTGGAGCTTCTTCGACCGTCGAGGGTGCGGGTGCTGCCGGTCCCGGAGCTGCTGGACCTGCGGGTCCTCCTGGAGCTGGAGCTGCTGAGGGCGTTCGTGCTGAGCCTGCTACTGTTGGTCCTGCCGCTGGAGGTGTGGGTGGCGCTGGTGCTGTCGCTGAGGGTGCTGGTGCTGTCCCTGCTGAGTCTGGAGCTGCCGCGCGGCCTCGGCTGTACTTCGTTCCGCTCCTGCAGCAGGTTCTTGGTCTTTCTCCTCCAGTAGAGGGTCCACCGCCTGTCCAGTCGCAGTCCCTACTGGAGCCTTCCTCTCCACTGCCTGCTCCCTCTCCTTACACTGGTCCTACTGGAGGTCTTGCTGAGCGTCGTGAGCCTGCGTCTCGTCCCGCGTCGCCTGTTCGTGCTGCTCGCGCTAGTGGTCGCAGTTCGCGTCAGCGTCCTCCTCCTGTCCCTGGCACGCACCGGATGTCTCTGCGTCCGTCCACTGCTCCTCTGCGTGCCCCTTTGCCTTCTCCTCCTGAGTCCTCTCTTCCTGCGCTTGCCGACCCTGAGTCGGACTCTCTTCGCGCTGCGAGTCCTACTGTCACGCGTCTGCTTGCTACTGTCGTCACTGACCCCTCTTTTGAGTCCACTGCTGCGTCTGCTCTAGTCGCTGAGCTCGTTGACTTTGCTGCTCGCTGTCGTCTCGACTACGCTGCTAGTCTTGTTGCTGAGTCTGCGTCTGTCTGTCCTCCGTCCGTCGGGGGTGAGTGTGCTCTTGGCACGGACGTCCTAGAGGACAGGCAGGAGGAGTTACAGTGTCTAGCGGCTGCTTCACCTCATCTCGCGTCTGTACTGCTTGCCCCTAAGGGAGACCCGGATGCACTAGACATCCCGACTCCGCGTTCTTACGCGGAGGCCGTAGAGGGTCCCTACTCCTCTCAGTGGCAGGCAGCTATGGATGCAGAGATGGCTTCCTGGAAGTCCACAGGCACCTACGTTGACGCGGTTCCCCCTCCTGGGGCGAACATCGTCAGTGGCATGTGGATCTTCAGGGTGAAGCGGCCGCCGGGCTCTCCACCTGTCTTCAAGGCACAGTACGTTGCTCGTGGCTTCAGTCAGCGGCAGGGAGTTGACTACTTTCAGACCTTCTCTCCCACCCCGAAGATGACTACTCTTCGGGTGCTGCTGCACATAGCCGCTCAGCGCGACTACGAGCTTCACTCTCTCGACTTCAGCACTGCGTTCTTGCAGGGTAGCCTGCACGAGGAGATCTGGCTTCGCCGTCCACCTGGCTTCACTGGGACTTTCCCTCCTGGCACCCAGTGGAGCCTCCGACGGCCAGTCTACGGTCTCCGCCAGGCACCGCGTGAGTGGCACGACACACTGAGGACTACGCTTGCGGCTCTTGGGTTTGCTCCTTCTACTGCTGACCCGTCGCTGTTTCTTCGCACCGACACTTCCCTGCCGCCGTTCTACATCCTCGTGTACGTCGACGACTTGGTCCTTGCCACAGCGGACACTGCTGGACTCGCCTACGTGAAGTCCGAGCTGCTGAAGAGACACACGTGCACAGACCTGGGTGAACTGCGCAGCTACCTTGGCTTGCAGATCACTCGGGACAGAGCACGCCGCACCATTACCTTGACTCAGTCACACATGGTGCAGCAGGTCCTTCAGCGCTTCGGCTTCACGTACTCCTCGCCTCAGGCCACTCCTCTGCCTACTCGCCACTCACTCTCAGCTCTGCCTTCGGATGAGTCCGTAGAGTCGAGTGGTCCGTATGCAGAGCTTGTTGGCTGCCTCATGTACCTGATGACCTGCACACGACCTGACCTTGCATACCCTCTGAGCATTCTTGCACGCTATGTTGCTCCTGGGAGACACAGACCGGAGCACATGGCTGCAGCGAAGAGGGTATTGCGCTACCTGTGCAGTACGTCGGGCATGGGGCTTGTGCTTGGAGGGCGGAGTCCAGTGGTCCTTACCGGCCACGCGGACGCTTCTTGGGCTGACGACCAGGCTACGCAGCGGTCGTCACAGGGTTACACCTTCAGCCTTGGTTCCGGCTCTGTCTCGTGGTGGTCTACTCGCTCGTCTTCGGTTCTCGGCTCCAGTTGTGAGGCTGAGATCTACGCCGGGGCCATGGCTGCTCAGGAGCTTCGCTGGCTCACCTACCTGCTGACTGACCTTGGAGAGCCGCCTCGTTCTCCTCCAGTGCTGTACGTAGACAACAAGGCTATGCTGGCCTTGTGTCGAGATCAGCGCTTGGAGCACAGAACGAAGCACATTGCTCTCCGCTACTTCCTTGCTCGTGAGCTGCAGCAGCGTGGTCAGTTGCGACTTGCGTACGTGGCCTCTGAGGCCAACACTGCTGATGTGTTCACCAAGGCACTCGCGCCTTGTGACCATCAGCGCTTTTGCACCCAGCTGGGTCTTGTGCCTGTCTTGCCTCACTTGCTCTCCTCTTGACTTCACTTGTACTGTGACATATATATATGCCTGCTCTTATTTGTCTAGTTTTATATATATGTCTGTACTCCTGCATGTGAACTGGCCTCTGGCCCTACTCTTGTGCTCGGACTGTGTGGTGACTTTGTGATCCACCCTGAGCTTGCTTTGCTTTGCTTGACTGGTCTTGTGACCCCTTGTTCTCCCCCATTTTGCCTATGGGGGTGTGTCAGATTTATATGACATAGTTGCTATAGGCTATAGTGGGGTAGCACATATGGGGTACAGGGTTTCTAGGGTTGTATTTGTACCCAATCTTTCCTTAGTCATTTCATTCCTGTTTTCTTTACTTCACATCACCATGGGCGACCTGTGAGCGAAACAATGTTACAAAGTAAACCCTGTGAGGGCAATACAAGAACATAAAAATTCAGAGCAGTTTATCACGAGCACGGAAGAAGAAACAGGCGAGTCTTGTACACTTTGGCATAGCTATTGGCCTGGAAACTGGAAACACTGCCAACTCAAATGGTTGAAGGCAGTAAAAGTTCGCCACCTGTCATGCACAGGTGGTCGCAATCTGCCAGCTGCGCCGAAACCTGCACACCTGTCATTGGAAAATTAGCTGAACAGAAGTAGAGGCAACCATATAATCCAGGTCACACACTGTCCCCTCCACCCCTTTCAGCATATCTCGCCCAACCTCATTACCGCTCAGAAATAATTCAGAACCGTGCAATAACGTGATCAACCCCGAGCATCCTGACGTTTGCCCACTCTTGTAGCTGTCTTTCTTTGCTTTGCAGTGTCGATATTTGTTCATTTGGAATAGCCGCTCCACTCTTGTATCTGCATGTTTACCAACTGAGCACTTGAAGATAATTAGACCGTTACCATGATGTGGCGCTGTTAGTACTTGTTTGAAGTTTCCCCTCGATTTTGCAGGCTCTTCCAGCGAAGGCCCCACCGGATCGGTCGTTAGGCTCTACTGAGTACCCGTAGTTGCCTCGTGTTTTTGTTAAACAGTAAAAGTGGTTATTCCCCTTCTCCTTGCCCCTCGCTTCCGCAGGCTCTTCTAGGGGTGGTGGCAAGGAGCGAGGGCGCGGGGGTGATTGGCCGGTTGGCTGTGATGGGCGGATGGTTGTGATGGGCGTGGTGGCGGTGATGGCAATCGTAAGTAACGACGAGGGTCTCACCAAGGGCAGTCAAACGTAGCGCCACTGACGCAACAACGGCTCCATCTGTGGCTTCTTCCCCATGGCTCATGCTGCTACTAGCCCCGTGGGGTGACCATGAACATCAACTTAGGTAAGTTCACGTTCCTAGTATGGCAGTACATATGGCGGCTTTTGCTATTAACATGTTTATGTCTCGCTTGTGTATCGAATTCCTAACCTAGTCACATGTATGCCTTCCCAACCTGACATTACATAGACTTGTTTTTTATTTTCCAGCCTCACAATGCGTTCTGATTGTGTGCAGCAGTTGCTATGCTTATCTCGTGGGAGTATGAGCATTTTCGGTGTGGTGGAAGTAACAATTAGTCCAGCACCTTGGTATGTACTGTCGTTTACCTGTCAATGTTTTCTCCGGCTGCATTTGTTTGGGTATGGTGGATATAGACTCTCTTTTTCTGCTGCTGGTGTGTGGCAGGTGGTGTTCAAGGTGCAAGATCTGTAGGGGTTTGTTACTTACCATGCCTTGTTGCTATGTAGTGCGTAGATGTGCATATCATGTGTGTAATGTGCAGCTGTAGATTCGCTGCATTTGCTTGTATAATGCACCTGGATGTATTGAAGGATTCTAATCCCAACTTGGTAACTGCTGGATTTATTTGTTCATTCTAAATATGTAAAAATGAATTCTTACAATTCAGTGTAGCAGGAACAGTGAGTATTCACTATAGCATGTATAGGATCACTCCATAGCGGTTCCCGACTCGGGTGAACAGTGACGACCTGCGCGTCACCTCTGGGTTGGCTGCGAGGTGAGGTTGGGGTCTGGTTCGGGTGACCCAAACTTGACGGACCCTGGGACCCTAGCTAAACCTGGGCGCATGACTCCAAGGTGACCTCGAAGTCAATTTTGGGTCAGGTTGGGGTGAGACCTTTTTAGAGATGGCAGAAGAAGAGAGGAAAAGTAGGGGAGCGAGCAAGGGAAGAGAAGTCCAAGGGCGAATAGGAGGAGGGGAAGAAGGAAGGATGGGAGGGCGGGAGGATAGGGGAAAAGGACGAAGGTGGCAGAGAGGTCGGGAAGCGATAGAGGGGCGCATGGGAGAATGGTTGGAGGGAGCAAGGGATGAAGGGAGCGCTGGTGGAAGGGAGGTAGAGAGAAGGGGAGGAAGGGATTAGTGGTGAAGCGGACGAAGGGAGGTGGGAAGGAGGATGGGGGGAAGGAGGAGGGGGGAAAGGGATGGAGGAGGAATGAGGAGGGAATCGAGAGGGGATATTTGACAGAGAGGAGAGATGATGGGGAGACGACGAGGAGGAGTTGCGACGAGGAGGAGCTGCGAGATGCGACGGGCTGCGACGGGGAGGAGACGCGACGAGGATATGCGAGATGCGACGGGACTGAGATGCGACGGGTGATGCGATGGGAGGAGATGCGACGGGAGGAGATGCGACGGGAGGAGATGCGACGGGGAGATGCGACGAGGAGATGCGACGGGAGGAGATGCGACGGGGAGATGCGATGGGAGATGCAACGGGGAGATGCGACGGGAGGAGATGCGACGGGGAGATGCGACGAGAGGATATGCGACGGGGCCGAGGATGCGACGGGGAGGAGATGCGGCGGGGAGGAGATGCGACGGGGAGGAGATGCGACGGGAGGAGATGCGACGGGAGGAGATGCGACAGGGAGATGCGACGAGAGGAGATATGACAGGGCCGAGGATGCGACGGGGAGGAGATGCGACGGGAGGATATGCGACGGGGAGGAGATGCGACGGGGAGATGCGACGGGGAGATGCGACGGGAAGATGCGACGGGGAGATGCGACGAGAGGAGATGCGACGGGGAGATGCGGCGGGGACTTCACGCGCGTGTTACCATCCACGCGCAGGAGGGGAGCTACGAGGTGGGTATTTCGCAATCGATAATACGTTACAGGAAGTGACGGGAAGGAGGGTCTGAAATGAAATCGCGTTGGCTCATGTGCGTGTGACACTTAGAGCGATAAACGCTTTACTCCCGCAATTGATGAGCTATTGAGATCTTGTCGCAATTTTCACGCTTGCTAGGCCCTATCGGCCCCCCAGATAGCACCGCGAGAGAACTAGCAAACGCCTGGATGGTCGGTCAACTTTGGCGAAAGGTGAGTATCTCTGTAATAGTGTAGCAGCCGAATGCTGCCAACAGCAATGCAGGTGGGCGGAAGTCAAGCGCCACCTCACCTACAGTTCGGATTGGTCAAGCGCCCCATCCTGCAGCTGGGCGACCAGATTCTGACACGCAGCCCAAGTCAATCCCACGCACGAAAATTACGAAACGCAGGACTCCGAAGTTCCGACCGCTCGCCGACTTCGCCAACAACACCGACGAAATTACAGCCCTGTAACCAAGCTCACCGTCCAATCCCGTACCGCAATAATTCTCTGAACTTCACGGCACGTTCATTTCAAAGGGTTGGGTTACCATTGAGAAATTTAGAGAGAGTCGCGACTTGGGAGTGCGACTCGATGTTTGAATGTGCTCTATAAAATTGTACTGTCAAATTTGTGAAGTCATAGTGCAATTTCCAGAGAACTCCAGAGAGCACTCTATCATCGTTTTCCTAGCCTACTAAGGCTGCTACTTCCTGCCAGCAACGTTGTACTGGTAATCAGAGCCTGGTTAGTCACTTCGCACGCTCCTGCCATGTTCTAGACCCTATGGCTGGGCCGTCTGATTTGACTCCGGAACTCTGGAACGAGTTTGTCGCAAATATGCGCCGAGAAATTGAACGCGAGGTGCGTGACCGGATCCTCGGCGAACTCCAGGAACGTGGACTCCTGGGCACACAGGTGCTGACGCCAGCACCTGCTGTGGTTTCTGCACGACCCAAAGCACCCGAACCTGAGCCGTTCATCCCTGGAAAACGTCACTTACCAGTGCGAGGGTGGCTTTTCCAAGTGGAGGAATACCTCTCCCTTTGTCATGTCAACCGGGCGGAGTGGGCTCGGCACGCTGGCATGATGCTGAGGGGTGCAGCTGCTACTTGGTGGCAGAGTTGCCATGCTACGATTTCAACTTGGGAAGAGTTTTCTACATCGCTATTAATGAACTTCGAGCCGGTCAACTCCATCGAGTGCGCACGTGACAACCTTGCTGAATTGCGTCAACATCGCTCGGTCGCTGAGTACATCAACCGCTTCCGCGAGCTCGTGCTTGAGATCCCTGACATCCCTGCTGCTGAAAACATGGAAAAATTCAAACGTGGGCTGAAGCCGAAAATCCGCACCGAGGTTGAACTCCGTGGCGCTACGACGTTGGATGAGATGATTCGTGTCGCCGAGCGTTTCGACACCATCAACTTTGCAGCGTACCAGCGATTCCAAGGACGAACCGGGCAGCACACCACTGCTGGACCTACCTACCGCACCAACGGTCCTACTCCCATGGAGCTTGGTGTAGTGGACCAACGCGCACGCAACCAGTCCTCGCTTACGTGCTACTCGTGCGGGAAAGTTGGTCACATCAAGCGACACTGCCCGAACCGCCGCAACTTTGAAAGGTCTCCGGGAAACTGACAGCGCCAGTAGCTATGGGGCAGACCACTGGCGCATCGCATGCCCCGCTTCTACCAGCCCCATTGTTCATCGGCACCTCTGAACTCTACACCACCTCAAACGCTCCATTCCTCGCCATCATTCTATACGCAAAAATAAAGAATCTCTACGTTGACTTTTTGCTCGATACCGGTATCAAACATCATATATATTGTTGTAGTTGTTTAGGCTACAGTGGGTTAGCCTATAGGGGGTACACATTTCTAGGTTTTCCTACTTGTACTCATTTCACTGCTAGTTCATTCATTCTTGTTCAACATGGTATAGAGCAGGTCCTTCCTAGGACCGATTTTTTTAGGGCCCACCACTACCTACCTACCTACCTACCTACGCCCTAGGGCGCCTCGGCTTTCACGCCCCTAGAGGCCCCGTCGGCCCCGCGCTCGTGTACCTTAGAGGCCCCGAATCGGCCCCGCGCTTACCCCTAGAGGCCCGAATCGGCCCCGCGTTCGCTCTTAGAGGCCCACGGCGGCCCCGCCCTTGTCCTTAACGGCCCACGTCGGCCCCGCGTTCGCTCTTAGAGGCCCACGTCGGCCCCGCGCCTGTCCTTAACGGCCCCGAACGGCCCCGCGTTTGCCCCTAGAGGCCCACATCGGCCTCGTGCTCGCCCTTAGAGGCCCTGAACGGCCCCGCGCTCGCCCTTCAAGGCCCCGAATCGGCCCCGCGCTCGTCCCTAAGGCCCCGGGAGGCCCCGCGTTTGCCCTTACGGCCCCGCGCTCGTTCCTAACGGCCCCGATCGGCCCCGCGCTCGCTCTTAGCAGCCCACATCGGCCCCGCGCTCGTCCCTAACGGCCCCACCCGCTCCCCGCGCTCGCCTCTATAGGCCCCGAACGAGCCGCCCGAACCGAGCAGCCCGAACCGAGCCGCCCAGTCCGACCGAGCCGCCCACTCCGACCGAGCCGCCCGAACCGAGCCGCCCAGCCCGAACCGAGCCGCCCAGTCCAAACCGAGCCGCCCGACCCGAGCCGCCCAGCCCGAACCGAGCCGCCCGACCCGAGCCGCCCAGCCCTAACCGAGCCGCGCCACCCGAACCTAGCCGAGCCGCCCTACCTGTACCGAGCCGCGCCGCCCTACCTACTCCTACTGCTTTTTCCTACTGCTCCTACCATGGCTAGCCCTCCTGTGCTAGCCTTCGATGCTGAGGGCCGCCCAGTTAAGTTCGTCACCTGGCTTGATGACCTACTTCTCTTCCTTCAGCTCACTGCCAAGGAAGACATTTCACTGTACGATCACGCCCTAGGCAGCGCTACTGCTCCTGCTGCTACTACTGACAGCACTACCCGCTCACAGTGGCAGACTCGTGACGCCCACGCTCGCTTCGCTATTCGCAACTCTCTGCCGATAGATGAGCGCGAGCACTTTGGGCAGCACAAGACTGCACAGGCACTGTACACTGCTGTCGTTGCCCGCTACTCCTCACCGGCCTCTGCCGCACTAGGTCGTCTCGCTCTTCCCTACCTGTTCCCCGACTTAGCTTCTTTCCACACAGTCGCTGATCTCATTACCCACCTCCGCACTAGTGAGGCTCGCTTCCGCGCCGCTATGCCTGATGAGTTCCTTGCCACGAACCCACCCCCGCTCTGGCTCACTCTCTACCACCTAGTCACGCGCCTCCCTGACACTCTGCGCTTAGTCAGGGACCACTTCCTAGCTCGCTGCCCCACTGAGCTCACCATTGCCCTCCTCGAGAAGGAACTCCTTGCAGCTGAGGCTAGCATAGTCGCTGTAGGTGCCTCTCGTGGTGACCCCCGTACCCCGTTCTTTGAGGGGTGTTCTCCCTCCCCCCTTCTTCCCTCTGACGCCTGTGCTGCTGCTGTCGACCTCCGTGGTGCTGAGAAGGTCGGGACTGCGTCTGCTTCGAGCGGGCGCCGCAGCGGCAAGGGCAAAGGGGGCAAGGGAGGTGGTGGTGACAGCGGGGGTGGCGGTGGTGGGGGTGGTGGTGGTGGCAGGGGTGGTGGCGCGCGTGGGGGAGGCGGCAGCAGTGGGGGGGGTGGCGGCAGCGGCGGGGGAGGTGGTCGGGGCGGAGGAGGTGGTGGGGGTGGCAGTGGACGAGGCGGCGGCCGGGGTTGGGGTGGTCGAGAAGGTGGTAGCGGCGTTGGTGGTCGTGGAGGCACTGGCGGTGGCCAGGGCCAGCAGCACACTCCGTCGCCCCAGGAGGCCCGTGAGTGGTACTCTCAGCACGGGGGGGGGGGGGGGGTGGCCTTAGCTGCACGTACGTCATTCGCACTGGTGACCGCACTGGCCAGCCGTGTGGGGGACCGCACGCCACACAGCGTTGCTTCGCTCGTCTGAACGACGCTTGGCGTGTTCAGTTCCCTCAGGCCACTGAGCTGCCCCGCTGGATTGATCTCCTGAAGAAGGGGATTGATATCTATGCTCTAGACTTTGATGCTATTCTCACTGCCATGTATGTGATGTCTACTAGTGGAGAGGGTGCTGAGTGCCTGAGTGTCCCGCCCGACCCGGGCATTAGGACTAGTGTGTCTGCCGCTTCAGGTAGTTCCGTGTCCCCTGCCCTAGGTGCTGGTGAGGCTGCAGCTCTAGGTGCTTGTACGTCTGCCCCCCTAGTACTGTGTCGACTGCAGCACTGCACACCTTCACACTGGACTCAGGTGCCTCTCACTGTTTCTTTCGATACCGCACTGCCCTTGAGCCACTTGCTCGGCCAGTAGCTGTCTCCCTCGCTGACCCCTCTGGGGGTCCGGTCATTGCGACCTCCTCCACTGTCCTTCCCTGTCCTGCGGTCCCGTCGGGCACACTATCAGGTCTCCACCTCCCCTCGTTCTCTACGAACTTGGTGGCAGGTTGTGCACTCCAGGACGGGGGTGTTCACCAGTTCACCCCTGCCTACGAGCGTGTCACACACTGCACGTGTGCTCGTACAGGCCGCCAGTTGGCTACCTTTACCTGGCAACCGGGGTCGGACCTGTATACACTGACTACTACCCCCCCTCAGGTCGCTGCGTCTGCATCTGCGTTTGCGTCCGCGTCAGGCCAGCTGTCTGCCCCCTGCTCGTGTTGCTCTCTAGCGCACGAGACTGTTCTCTGGCACCACCGACTTGGCCACCCGTCTGTGCAGCGCCTTTGTGCCATGCACTCCCGGTACCTTGTTTCTGGTCTTCCCAGGGTCCTCCCTCCCCTCCCACCCTCGCCTGCTCCTCCCTGCCTTCCCTGTGTCGAGGGGCGGCAGCGCTCCACTCCTCACTCTTCCTCGTTTCCCCCGACGTTTGCTCCGTTGCAAACGCTCCACATGGACGTGTGGGGCCCAGCCCGCGTCCGTGGTCAGGGTCAGGAGAGGTACTTCCTGATAGTTGTTGACGACTACTCGCGCTACACCACGGTCTTCCCCTTGCGCACCAAGGGTGAGGGCCCTGATGTTTTGATCCCTTGGATCCGCAGAGCTCGTCTCCAGCTTCGCGAGCGTTCTTCCCTGTCCTGCGCTTGCACTCTGACAGAGGTGGTGAGTTCTCCTCTGACCTCTTGGCAGCCTACTGTGCTGAGCACGGCATTGAGCAGTCGTTCACGCTTCGGGCCTCTCCACAGCAGAATGGGGTTGCGGAGCGCCGCATTGGCCTGGTCATGGAGGTCGCTCGTACCTCCTTGATCCATGCGGCTGCCCCCCATTTTCTGTGGCCGTTTGCGGTCCAGTATGCTG